TATATATATATATATATAATAAAGAACTCCAGGCAAATAAAAAACTTGTCCCTGCAATGCAATGGGCAAGTGTTCGTTTTGTTCTAGGGTCTGGAATAAAGCAGATTTACTTACCTGATCCTGGCTTTCTCCGGGCTGCTAGACCGGTACCCGCATTATATATATATATATAATAAAGAACTCCAGGCAAATAAAAAACTTGTCCCTGCAATGCAATGGGCAAGTGTTCGTTTTGTTCTAGGGTCTGGAATAAAGCAGATTTACTTACCTGATCCTGGCTTTCTCCGGGCTGCTAGACCGGTACCCGCAGCCTCTTCTCCCCTGGGCTCCATCGGTCTAAGGACATCATTGTATCTTATGCAGGTCCATTGGAATGCAGCTCAAGCGTGGCTCAGCTAAACTCCACTGACTTTTGGTGACCCAGATCCCCTTGACTTTAATATAGAGCAGAACACATGGCAGTTCAGATACTGCATTTGACCTGCTTTGTGTCCCATTCTTTGGACACAACAGGTCCTAAGAATGTGTGTTTTAACTGTCAGCAAAGCAGGTCCAAAGCAACCTTGTCAAACACTGCGTTCTCTATTCAAATGAAGCCGCGTGTGTTTGAATGGAAACCTCAGAGTTAGACTATAACTATTGCTATCCCACTACCTCAAATGTGGAAGAACTGTTCTACCAAGGACCTGGCAAACTTGACATTTCTAGGCCCTGTGACGTTCTGCATGTTTCCCCTTGGCATAGGAAATAATAGCTATTCGGAGTGCTTGACAAAGATAGCCATTTCACTCTGAGACTGGACCTTGTCAATGATCCGTCAGTACACTGTCCACTATTAACAGATCTCCACTGATATTTTACAGCTTGAGAGAGAAGGATAGAGAGAGTGTGATAGGGGTGGATATATAGGGTAAAGTGACACCTTCGCCCTTTTTGATTGGAGCTTTAAAGCTGTACTCCAGGCAAACAGATCAATACAGAGATTAAATAGATATGTGGGAGATGTTTTACCTACTAAAGGATTTCTATTTATGTCCATCCAGTTCTGAGATTTACACATCTCTGTCACATGACACAACCCTATCTGACCTGATTTTCTCTATGTTGCAGTTTAGTAACACTTACATGTCCTGATCCTCCCCCAGCTTGTGGCCGGAAGTTTAAAGATAAAGCAGCAGCAATAAAGCAACATGACCACTGCAGCACAACTAATTGGTTTCTTGTGCTGCTTCTCCTTCCCACAGTCTGAGCTCTGATATACAGGGATTTTTAAGAGCCTGACAACACTTCAAATTCTGGTACTTCTAATGCTTGCATTAAATAAACTGTAGTGATGTATTTGAATGTATACACAAATGAGGCTTATACAGGTAAGTAACATGCATAAAATATGTTAAATGCACATCTAATCTTATGGGAAAATGTTTGTAGATATGAATGGACTGGCTACAGGGTCTCTTAAAAATGACCAAAAACCACCTTAATGTAACCTTCGCTATTGACTCCAATATATTTGAGAAAATGGTCACTAAACAATAAGATATTCTTTATTAATGATTAAGTGACATTACTGACGCTTCTATGCTAATGTTCCGTTCTTTATACAATAACAGGTCCGCTTGCTAGAGTGACTGCAGAAAGATGTTATTGGAACAGGATTATTCCCCATCTTGTCTTGCTGTGCATTGTCATCTCTGAATTCTCCAGCAAGAGTCTGGCTCATGATCAAGCTGATAAGGGCTTCTCTGTGTGCATTACTCTCTTTACTTTCTAATCTTTACTTTTACTTTGTAATCTTTTCCCCAAAACTTTCCAAACATTTAACCGTGAGCACAGGTTGTTGATTTCCTTATTATGGTGAAATTTTAAAATCAGAGATATCAAAACTCTCAGTTTTGTTCATCCCTAATGAGGGCCCGAGAATTTAAGGCAAGGGGATTAACAATAGCCACTGTGCCATCCATTGTTTCATCATCCATCGCATTCCTCCCATTCATCCTTCCATCATTAATAGCATTTCACCCTTCCAATTCCATCATCCATAATATCCTTCCTATTCATCCTTCCATCATCCATAGCATTCCTCTCTTCCATTTCCATCATCCATAATATTCCTCCTATTCATCCTTCCATCATCCATAGCATTCCTCCCTTCCATTTCCATCATCCATAATATTCCTCCTATTCATGCTTCCATCATCCATAGCATTCCTCCCTTCCATTTCCATCATCCATAATATTCCTCCTATTCATCCGTCCATCATCCATAGCATTCCTCCCTTCCATCATATCCCTCCTATTCATCCTTCCATCATCCAACCCTTCCATTTCCATCATCCATAGCATCCCAGCCTTCCATTTCTATCATCCATAGGATTCCTCCCATCCATCCTTCCAACATCCATAACATTTCTCCCATCCATCCTTCCTTCATAAATATCATCCCTCGCATTCATCCATCCATCCAGCATCCATAACATCCTTCGAGCATCCCTCCATCCATTACCCATAGCATCTCTCCCATCCTTCTAGCATCCCTCCATCCATTACCCATAGCATCTCTCCCATCCTTCTAGCATCCCTCCATTCATTACCCATAGCATCTCTCCCATCCTTCTAGCATCCCTCCATTCATTACCCATAGCATATTTCTCATCCTTCTGGCATGCCTCCATCCATTACCTATAGCATCTCTCTCATCCATCCTTCCATTATCAATCCCAACCTTCCATCATCAATAGCATCCCTCCAATCCAGTCTTTAATTTCCCATTCTTTCCCTTCCATCCACCCTCCCAATATCCATAGCATTCCTTCCATTATCCATAGCATCCCTCCCATTCTTCATCCCCTCCATGTCTATACTGACTATCAGCCATATAACGCTTGTGGCTAATCACGGCTGTCTCTTTAGCTCCCGCTGCTGCTCATTAGCGGTCACTACACCCCTTCTGCAATAACTACAATATTCTATGACCAATCCGCAGCGAGAGCTTTCAGCCAATCACGGCGTCCGGCACGTAGCTGGCGGAAGTAGGTGCCTCTGTGCTGTGACAGTCGGTGTGAGGCGGAAGTTGTGATTGAGGTGTGGTGGTGCCGGGCTGTGTACAGTGTGTGGACACACATCATCTTCCCCTTGTGTCTGCTCTGGATGGTGCCGGTGTGGGGGAGGTCACATGACCCCTTTGTCCCTTAGTAGGATGGATGCTGGCAGGTAGAGCAGGGAATGGCAGGTTGTCATGGAGATGATGGAGTGATCCTTGCCCTGAATAGTGTCCCCTCAGGCACCTGTGTGTGCCCTGGTTAGTGTTCCCCCTTGCCCAGACTGCTGTGTGTGCCCTTGTTAGTGAAACCCCCCCCTCTCCCCCCCCAGACCCCTGTGTGTGAGTGGCTGTGCAGGGTAGATGGCTGCTGAGGCTCTGCAGTTCTCTGTCTGGGGATAACTGGACAGTATGATCTCTCCAAGAGACAAGGGGGATCTGGCCCGCTTCTATACCGTTACCGACCCCCGCAGGCACCAGAAAGGCTTCACCATCTACAAGGTCACCGCCAGGGTAAGTGTTGGTGGGATATCTCCATATGATCTGCATGTTATTGTAGAATGGAAATATGTCATGTTATGTTTTTTAGAGTGACATTTTATTCCACAGGTGGCTCTGAACCATTTTTACTGAGGGAGCTGACAATCTAACATCAATCATGTTCTTATCATTGTGGGGGTCCCATAAAAAGAGGACCTTCACCCATAAAAATAACATCTCACCTGCCTCCTCCCTGTTACAAAATTGCCCCCATTTTTTACCTTTTATTTTTTTTGCATTCACTTAATGAATCCTTGCCTAGGGGAGGATGACGTATCCGGCCACCCTGTGCCTCCTGGTCTACAACACGCATCTCAGAAGGCAGTCTGAGGTATGAAATCTTACGCATGCACAGACATGCTGCAAGTCTTTGCCAGGTACCTTAGAAGTGGCAGAGGCTCTGTAGTGTCGGCGCATGTGTCAGATCTCATTTCAGCAGTGTCTATATGTCATGCAGCACTCCTTACCGGATATCCCAAAATTAACGAGTGCTCGTAATGACTGTGGATGGCACCGCTCACAGTACAGCATGAATCAAGAAGTCACCAGCACACCAGCATGAGAATTCCAGATTAGTGCAAATCCATTTATTGATAACTGTCACTCAAATGACAAGCGCTTTCAGGGCAGCGCAGGGTCCCTTTCATCAGGCTAAGAGATGGTGTAATCTCTTAGCCTGATGAAGGGGACCCTGTGCAGGCCCCAAAGGCTCTTGTCATTTGAGTGACCGTTATGAATAAATGGATTTGCAATAATTTGGAATTCTCGTACTGGTGTGCTGGTGACTTCTTGATTCAAGATCTCATTTCAAGGTGGCGATGCGGGAGCAGAGCAACACAAGAAGAACTTCTCCTGCAAGAAAGACAACACTGGACTCCATGGACTAATAAGTATGTTTTTTTCTTCTTCCTATAGGGACAAGCGTTAGGGATTAGAAATCTCGTTTTGTCATGGAGGATGAAGATCAGGGTTAGGGCTAACCCTCTGTAAACTGACTTTAAGGAGTCTATACAATATATGAGAGCACCACAACTCAAGTATAAGTCTAGTAACATTTGTTATTCACAACGAGAGGTCAGGAGGTACAGCCAACGTGTTTCAGAGGTTTAGAAATCCCCCTTCATTGACGCTTGTATGTTGGCAATGATTGGCCATAATACTGGACAGGTAATTGTGGGATATGGAGATTCTTATATGCTGGCACTGATTGGCCATAATACTGGACAGGTAATTGTGGGATACGGAGATTCTTATATGCTGGCACTGATTGGCCATAATACTGGACAGGTAATTGTGGGATATGGAGATTCTTATATGCTGGTAATGATTGGCCATAATACTGGACATGTAATTGTGGGATATGGAGATTCTTATATGCTGGCAATGATTGGCCATAATACCGGACAGGTAATTGTGGGATATGGAGATTTTTATATGCTGGTAATGATTGGCCATAATACCGGACAGGTAATTGTGGGATATGGAGATTCTTATATGCTGGCAATGATTGGCCATAATACTGGACAGGTAATTGTGGGATACGGAGATTCTTATATGCTGGCACTGATTGGCCATAATACCGGACATGTAATTGTGGGATATGGAGATTCTTATATGCTGGTAATGATTGGCCATAATACTGGACATGTAATTGTGGGATATGGAGATTCTTATACGCTGGTGTATGTGAAAGATGTCTGTGGCACTGTGTATATGTTACCTTCTTTATAAGAAAATGACATGACACCATCATTGTGTGTGAATACTGTGTATGTTTCCCCAACTGTGGAATAGGGTTAAAGTGGATCTGAACTCAAAAAGTCAAGAATTGCTATGCTGGTAGGAAACGCTTAAAAATGTAAATTGTGCCCAAGGCACAAAAAAAACAAAACCTTTTTGATTTGAATGACTGAAAAATCGGTCACTTCCTGGCATATTATTATTATTATTACATAGTATTTATATAGCGCCAATAGTTTGCACAGCGCTTTACAATATAGGGAAGACATTACAATCACAATACAATTGAAGACAAGATGTAAGCCCCTGGGGGCTTACAATCCAAAAGGGAGGGGCCAGTGATACATGAGGAGGTAGCTGTGTGGGGAAGAATTGTTTGAGAACGTGATGGTTCAGTGGTTAGTTTGAGGTGGGATATGAATATGAATGTGACATCCCATACCTGCAGCCTCATAGCTGTATATCTGCAGTGTGAGATCTAAGGCACTTCTGCCTCTGACTGCTAGTCTCGGGAGATTGGGGATAAGATTTGGTGATGTCACTACTGTGTCACTGTTTTCTTTGCTGGAGGATTTGACATGTGAAAGCAAAGTCATTCTCCTCTACCAAGATGGCTGCCTCCACACATAGACACTCAGTGTCTGTTAATGTATGTTAAGTCACTAATGGGGAACAATCCGCTACAGTGAGGACACAGGCAATCCTGGTGACTAGTCCTTTGTGTTCTGCCTTCCTTTTTTTGGGAGGCTCAACTTCCACAGTTCAGTTCCTCTTTGGCACATCTTCCAGAATTCGGTTCCTCTTTGGCACATCTTCCAGAATTCGGTTCCTCTTTGGCACATCTTCCAGAATTCGGTTCCTCTTTAAGCTTTGCTTGCTAGATTTAGTTGCATGATATGCTACTAGGACACTTGGTTATTCCAATTCATCTCCACTATATCAGCATACACAACCAGAACACCAGACAACACTTCACAACCTGTTAAATCTGTGCTGGCCTCCCGAGGTCTGCTGGTCCATTCATTCCTTCATAGAATGAGAGGGGTGGGCCAGGGACAGCCAGACTGGGGAGGAAAGTGCTAGATGATGCTGGACAATCTCCAGCCAGGAAATGAGGTGGGCTCTTTCTGGCTTGCTGCAGCTTCTAATGCACATTGTGATGAGGTCAAAGTGTGCATTGAAATCAATTTCAGTCAATGAACAACTGTACAACTGTGCAAGACTGAATGTAAGCCTGGAACTCAGATTTAACAGAGGACATATGACTCATTTGTCATGCATTATAGTGTATGTCCATACAAATGTTTTCCTTAGCTTTGGATAGGCAACAGAAAGCAAACAGAAGTTCTAACTTTCTCCTACTGTGCTGCAAAAAGTGTTTTTATATTTGTAAGAAAATGACACGAAATATGATTTTTTTAATGTCATATTCTTTTTCTCGAAGCATAGGGTGGAAAAGTTCAATAATAGATGATTGTTTCCGTTGTTGTATAAAGTTCAGAATGTGTTTAATTTAAAGTTACAAAATATTACAGGATATGGTATATCTTACAGAATGAGTCTATAAGATGCTTGATGATGACAAAATATGGTATATCTTACAGCAGAAATCTATAAGATGCTTAAGAAACGTGTGTTTAGTTAGTAAGTAAAAATAATCCTAACAGGTGTCTGTCTATTTCAACGTGAGTGTGGGGGTGTGGGCTTGATGCTGTGCGTGTATGTGTGTGGTGTGAATGAGTGTGAGTGTGTGTGTCGTGTGTGAGTCCGAAGGATCATCCCTCATCTTTTTATCCATGCTTTTACTTTAAAATAACCTATGTGATGTTTACCTTAAAAGTCTCTCTGATTAGCATAAGGCAGTGCCATACTCTAGTAGCTGAGTCATGTGTTCTCCTTCTATCCCATTTTGGGATCATAGTCTATGTCCTGAGTAATGTGGTTTATTCTTCAAACTCATTTTAAAGGCCAAGTCTTTGAGCAATCCTAACAACTGTTTCAACTATACTTAGGTCTGCCTGTCAGGCTTACTGATTGATTACCAATTGTAAACTCAAAATCAGCAGTACAGTAAAAAACTGAATCTCCAAACTTGGATAGATTAAAATATAGAAAATCAATCATCATTTAAGGTTCACACATACATATTTCAATATCTCTGGTTTTATAGTTTTAACAATATTTGTCTGTGTTGCTGATCTACCGTCACTTCCGGTCTGGTGAAATAGTTGTCACAGGGAGAGGAAGAAAGGGGAAATCTCTCCAATGGAGCCCCGGATAGCAATGAGAACCCAGCAGAAGTTCTAACCCTTCCCGACTCTATCCAAAACTAGAAAAAAATAAAGTTTTTGGGTTTCACTTTAACTTCGCAGTCTGTTGTAGCCATTAGTTGAAGGGGTGATCCAATTCATATTTGGCAAGTGCACATCTACGCATCCGGTGTACTGCAAATATGTTTTGGTGGGGAGGAGACAAGACCAGTCACCCTGAACAAGGAGAGGGAGCATCGGTGACCGGTCTTTATTACAGGAGGGGGCGGAGACAAGACCAGTCACCTGCACAAGAAGAGGGAGCATCGGTGACCGGTCTTTATTACAGGAGGGGGCAGAGAGAGGACCAGTCACCCTGCACAAGGAGAGGGAGCATTAGTGACCAGTCTTTTTTACAGGAGGGGTCGGAGACAAGACCAGTCACCTGCACAAGGAGGGAGAGCATCAGTAACCGGTCTTTGTTATATACAGAAAAAGGGTAAAGAAAAGTCTTTGGCGTATCTTCATTTTCTAGTCTGCATGTAATAAATTGCAGTGGAGATGCTTTTGCCTCAGGCGCAGTCTCCTTATTACATTAACTGTTTGGCTTGGCTGTGTCCTGCCTGCTGTGGAAGCTGAACACCTCTCTTATGTCCTCCCCAGGGGAAGCTGCAGTCTTACTGCATTCCAATGACCTCACTTGACTTCTGCTGAATACACTTGAGCAGTCAGTGCAGATGTATGCATTGTAGACGAGGCTTTTCCAGCACAGAGACGTATTATCAGACGGGTGGACAAAATAAAATAGGCTTTACCTGCCAAAGTATGCTTGCTCTGCGAGGCTTTACCGAGGCACTTGTGTGATTGACACACACCTGCCAAACTCTACTGCCAGAACCTGGACAGACTGATGGCACTTCCACTCCTAAAGTGGACTAAAAATCACATCAGCATACAGCTCTCCATGCTAATATAAACTCATCTTACATTCATTAGCTAAACAAACATATTTTTTATTTTACTTACAATTTCTTTTATTCCACTTCCTAGTCCTCTTTGGCACAAATGATGTAAATGTGCCCAAGCGTTGCATCCTGGGAAGGTTACATCAGCAGAGTATTGCTGGGAAATCTCATCTGAGATTACAGGGAAAGGCATTTTCCTCCCTTGAAATGATGTGCATGGTCACATGTCCTTGTCACATGTGCCAGTGTTCCAGGAAGTAAAGGGAGATCTAGTAACCTGCCTTTAGTTTAAATGGCCACTGTGAGAAGAATGGGGAGAAAAGGAGAAATAAGGTATGCAAAGAATATGCCGGCAATTGTAAAGCAGATAAACCCGGCAATTATCTAGCAGTATGTGTTTGTAGATTGTCATTACTAAACATTTCTGAAGGTGACTTTGTTGTTATTTTGAAGATATGAGTAAAGGTCCACTTTAAGAGGCATGACACTCGCCTGTCTTACAAGGTTATTCACTAAAGGGTGAAGAGTTTGGGGAAGGCAGGAGAAGTGAACAATCTAGGACAACAGAGCTGAACTGGAAAGTGAGCTGAATTGGAGAATTTTTCCAAATCAGTTATGTTGTCCTAGATTGGTCACTTCTCCTCCTTCTCCAGACTCTTCACCCTTTTGTGAATAACCCTGTTTATGATTTAAAATCATCATATTGCATATAATTTTACTTACATTTTTTGTCATGAAAATATTTAGTCCTCTTACATAAATGTCACTTGAGGAATTGTTTTTCAATCACATGAGGGCATATTACAGACCTTATGAAACCCTATAGCATGCTTTCTTCAATAGCCACCTCTTAGAACCTTAAACTATAACCTGAACTCCGGGATATGCAGATTTTTGTCTAAATATCTAAGAGCCATGTGTTATCGAACTTGAATCTCAGTATGCTTCGTGTATTTCTTCCAGATCTGTGCGGTAATCTAGTGTGAAACTTGGAGCTTCCTGTAATAACGACCGGTCACTGCTGCTCTCTCTCCGTGTGCAGGGTGACTGGTCTTGTATCCGCCCCCTTCTGTAATAAAGATCGGTCACTGCTGCTGTCTCTCTTTGTGCAGGGTGACTGGTCTTGCCTCCGCCCCCTACTGTAGTTTTCTGCAGGCAGCCTGTAATGGGTGGAGCCTGTTTGCCCCCCCACCCCCCACAACTCTTCTCTTTGCACAGTCTGTGTACAGCACATTGATGATGCCATTGATACTTTACAAGGTGCTACGTGGGTTTATTAAGGCATTTGGTGCACACAAATTGCTTTATTTTAGGGCTGGTAATGATTACAATTTTCGTGTTCGATTAATGAAATTTAATTTGGTGGAGGAGTCCGGTGACATCGATGTCCGGATCGCCGACGGGACTCCCGGAAGCCGGCGGAGAGGTGAGTGTTTTCATTAGTGATCAAAATAAATGTAATCGATCAAAAAGTTTAACGATTAATCGAGAAATTAATCTTTAATTTCCACGGCCCTACTTTATTTGTGGTTATTAAGGAATACATTTAGGTAACAGTTTTTGTGCCAAGAGTTTGGCTTTAATGTGGTGCTGTGCTTTGCCAATGCGGTGTGAAGCAAAAGGCTCACTGTAATGCACCTCTCACTAGCAGCACATAGTTACCTTTCCTTTTAGTCCCCTGTTGCTCAGTTCATCCACACTGCAAAGCGGCAGCTTTCAGTAGCTCACTGTTGGATGTACTTAAGGCTCAACTGAAGCCAAAACTTTGTTTTAGTTTTGAATAGAATGGAGAGAGATTAGAATTGGGGTCTGTGTCCCTGTTGGGAAGATTCACCCTCTCTATTAGCCCTGGTGACCTTTATCACTGAAAGTTGAAGTATAATAAAGTTCCAAATCTTGGGTTGTAATCATTACCCTTTTAACATGGCTGGTCCGATCAGGCCCACCTGCCAGTTTTTCAGATGGACCCGATCGGATGCCCAATGCTAGTCTACGGGCATCTGGGTCTAATGGATGAGCATCCATTTATACCTGGTTACCCTTAACTCTGGCCAGGTCCGGAAAATCAAACAGAACCAAGTTCCGTTTTGTTGGACCTGATCGTGCCAGATCGGGGGCAATCTGATATAAACAGACACATTTACATTCGACTCTCCATAGACCAATACAGGGTCTGGCAGTTAAAGTTCTTTCCTCCATCACAAAACTAGACGAACATGGATGTCATAGCGGTTCCATCCGATCCGTACCGCTCCGATCAGGAGGGGATCCGTGCACGGTTTCCTCCTGATCAGCCTGTGTGAAAGGGGTCTAAAGGCCATTGCTGAGCGCTCCTGAAAATGTTGGCCGCTGGCTGTCACGCTGACCTGGTGGCTTCAGTACTTTGAACCACTAACTTGGAACAAGTGTTCATGGGAGGATTTCTGGCTTTTTTCAGGCTTTTCTGATTTTGATTACATGTGTTGGATCATGGGCTCAAGATAGAGGATCAGCATAGTCAAGTAGCATTTTCAGCTGTGGCAGACCTTACATTTTTCTAATGACCGATTTACAAATCCTCCCAGAGTGGATACATGGAGAGAAACGCTGAAGATACCTTTACTGGAGGGCTTTCTCTTGTGCTTGTCATATGGCTAGAATCCTAGGCTATTGTCTCTGTGATCTTTGTTGAAGGGGATGATAAGTCTTCAAACTGGCTTTTCTTCTTCTTGAACACGCAACTACATGCCCAGGATTTTGATTAGACGGGAAGCGCTGAAGGGACCTTGTTTTCACTGGACATTCACCACCGATCACAGCAGCAGGAGGAGGTAGGACCAGGCTCTTGACATATCAGTCTGGATGTCACAACACTTTTAAACCTCAACCTTTAAAAAGCTGAGTTCATGATAATTACCTTCCCCAACTTTCCCTTGAGATTGATAACACAACTGTCCCTCGCTCCACCCATGCCAAGGTCCTAGGTGTGATCCTTGATTCTGTACTTGCCTTTCTGCCCCACATCCAACCACTACCCAAATCCTGCTGCCTTCACCTTCGTAACATCTCCAAACTACACCCCTTCCTAAACAATGAAACCTCAAAGCTACTCATCCACTCACTTGTCTCTTGTCTCGACTATTGCAACTCCCTCCTCACTGGCTTACCTCTACATAGGCTATCCTCCCTTCAGTCTATTATGAATGCTGCTGCTAGACTCATTCACCTAATCAACCGCTCAGTGTCTGCAACCCCCCTCTGCCAATCCCTCCACCGACTTCCATCTCCCGCCCACATCTGCCAATCCCTCCACTGGCTTCCATCTCCCGCCCACCTCTGCCAATCCCTCCACTGGCTTCCATCTCCCGCCCACCTCTGCCAATCCCTCCACCGGCTTCCATCTCCACCCACCTCTGCCAATCCCTCTAGTGGCTTTCAATTACCCCAAAGATACAATTCAATATATTAACAACCACCTACAAAACCATCCACAACTCTGCCCCTGGCTATATCTCCAACCTTGTATCAAAGTATCACCCTAACCGTCCCCTCTGCTCCTCCCAAGACCTGCTCTCTAGCTCCCTCGCTAACTCCTCCCATATTCACCTCTGGGACTTCTCCAGAGTCTCTCCCATCCTTTGGAACTCCTTACCCCAACCTGTCTGTCTATCTCCTACTCTGTCTGCCTTTAGGCGATCTCTAAAGACTAATCTCTTCAGAGAGGCCTATCCCACCTCAACCTAACCACTGAATAATCCCTTTTTCAAACAATTCATTACCATGCAGCTACCTTCTTGTGTATCACTTGCCCCTCCCTGTTAGATTCCACGCTTTCATGGGCAGGGCCCCCTTACCATCTTGTCTTTAATTGTAATGTAACTGTAATGTCTTCCTTATATTGTAAAGCGCTGCACAAACTGTTGGCGCTATATAAATCCTGTATAATAATAATGATGGGAATAGGACAACATTTGCATACAAGAGCACCCTGGGATTAGTTAATCCTGCACGCTGAGGGAGATAGCTTGTCTAAATCAAGCCTTAGGCAGGAGCTCATACTTATGGAAAGCAACGTCTCAGATAATTCTTTTTGTCTTTCTTTCAGATTGTGTCCAGAAAGAACCCAGAAGAGGTGCAGGAGGTAATCTCATTGTTTGCAGCTGGTCTGATGTTATATGTTTTGGTGTCCTCAGCTTAGTGGACTCTGATAGCAGGTTGGAATACAAGGTCAATATCAGATTTAGAATTATTTAGTCCGTCCAACCAGATATCATCCAGCTTTGATATACCATCATCCCCACAATCCACTGCGCTCAAAAGTTATATACAAAAATAATATATAAAAACAATATAATGCTATATAGCAAACAATTAAAGCCAACATGAAAGCCCACAAAAGAAGTTTTCCAAAAAACAAGTGTCCCACAATATATGTGTGAACCAACAGCCGATTAGATTTTTGAAGAGTCCAAAAAACGTAATTCATCCAAAACAGTGTCCCACAGCGATGTGAATGCGATCCATTTAGTGCTACACACTGCAGACAATAAATGTGCTTTCAGTGATACTCCACACACCGTTCCACAGAACCAATCAGTGCTTAATACCGCACTCACCAAAGGTATGTGACCATGTACAGAATGGTGAATTATCACTCTGAGTGAGTGAGTTACGATTGGCCGGCCGGGGATATATGGAGTTTGTGAATAGAAGAAATTAATTCAGCTTTGATGACTCCTGGAAGACATGAGGAATACTTCCAACTGAGGAAGGAATACGATTGACATTATCTGCTGAAAGCTTGTCCCAGCTCACCCTGATGCTCATGTCGGATGAGTCACTATGCTGGGCCAATGATCTGGTATCTGAACTGGAATCTGTCAAGTTTTTTTTTTTAGCTGTTTGTATCTGGGAGATTTCTCTGGACTTTTTGTCCCCAGAAATGCGACAGGAAGTAAGTGGAAATCCTCCTAAAATGAAGGGAGCCCCACCTTTTGACTGCAGTCATTGGAGCAAGTGTCTCCATTGGAAGGTATCCTCTCTATTCTGGTTCTGGTGACACCCTAATTTTCTTTCCCAGTAAAAATGATCCCAAGGACAATTATTCAATTCTGACATCTTTGTTGGTTAGCAAGCCACCAGACTGTGTGCATTGCCTGGAGACAGGACCCAGATTACTCCACACACAGAGCAGGGGATGTGGCAGATTGTTTTGAGTGGAGGGGTTTGTGCTATACAGTAAACCACCAATGCTGACACCATTGTTTATAGGGGATAGGCCTGTATAAATGGGAATAGTTTTAAAAGAACTGCATTGTAGTTGGGGAGGAAGAATGTAGAAAGCTAAGACATGTATACAATGCTGCTTCTTTGCTTTTGGGAACATTTGTCCTGACCTATATACATATTATAGAGGAAAAGATCTGTTTAACTCTGCATTAGAAACTGCATTAGAAACTGTAGATACATTTTATTTAGATCATTCTGTCTAAAATATTGTATAAGATAAAGATTCTGACTTCCAGCTTGAACATTTGTTTGTGACCTGCATGTGGACGTTTACCTTCTCACTGAACGTCAGTCCCTGGGTACTGGTAATTAGGATCTTATTTACCACTTACAATAGTGATCTTGTCAACAGCCTGTCCCAGTGGATCCTTCACTCCCTTGACTCTCCGTCTCTTCCTGCTTCCATTTCTCATTCACTGAGAAGTGTTTGTGATGTCACAGAGACAGAACAGTGCTGTCACACAATGTCCAGCAAGGTTCTCCCTGAAAACAACAATAATGATTGAGAAAAAATAATCCGAGCGCCAACAATCATCCCGCGTTCAAAGGCTGTTAAATCGCATTGTTTACCCGTATCTTCCGAAACAAATCACTTCTACTGTCGTGGTAAACAACCTGCTTCCCTATTTATAATGGTCTGGCCCTCTAGCAACTTCAGCGCAAAATTATAGCTAATTTGCCTACAAACGCCAAGTGGTCATAATAATCTGGCCACTCAGTGTATATGTCACTGATAGGTAGGCAGCACCCACTTTCTCCACATAATTGTGGTTCCAACAGATACAAAGTATGCCCTGATATATAGAAAATACAGAGGCACATCCGCAGTGGACTTAATTAAAATCAAGCTTGCATGTTCTTCTCTTATCTGAGGAAGGATTCCTAGGGGTTCAAAACTTGATTCTAAATACATTTACAAGGTGCTGCAGACTAGGGAATTTTTAAAATCCCTATCAACTTATATTATTTGCCATCTGGGTCTCATAGGGAAGATTTCCCTTCACTTCCTGTTCCATAGACCCCATAGAAAGTGAGAGTCAATCTCTTTAAAGTGAGGGATGGGACCTTTTTCAAAGTTCTCTCCAGAATAAAACGTCCTCATTGGAAGTTCTCCCCATTGTCTCTGTTCTGGTAACTCTAAATCTTGGATTTTCCATCAATTCCGTCCTGGTGACAACTGTCACACAAGGACGGGGGGGGGGGGGGGTTGGTGGAGAGACAGCTGTAAAAACTTGACAGGGGTTTTATCCTTTCATACACCATCTAAAACAGAAAATAACCTTTCGGATACCTAACTGTATGTGTAATACCTCCCTTTGCCTCCCCCCGAAGCTGAGCCTGTGTATATCCCTATTATTTCACCTCAAAGAAAAGGGTCTGCCTACTCTTGAAACATTGGTGTTACTACACAGTTTTTATACTGTGGGACAGAGCATGTATTTATGTCGTATCTTTCACTTGGCACATTTGGTGAAAATATCTGCAATGCACTGAAATGGTCCATGTTCCTTAATGGATTGTCAATAAAATGTACCCCTAAACCCCCCTCTCTAGGTGCCCTAGTACTGAATTTTTCTTTAACCTTGTTTCTGTAGCATCACCAGCTTTGTAAAATCTTGCAGGGGCAGCTGCTAGGAGGTTAGTTCCTAATGATGTAGTTGTAGTCACCCTCCCCCAAAACTACATCTTCCAAGAGCCCTTTACCTACACAGAGTGCGTGGGTAGACTCTTGGGAGTCAAGGCAGCAGCTTTGATTTGCTGGAAAATCAGTGGATGCGTGTAGAGAGGCAGAGCGAAGACAGTGTTATCAGCCAACAAGGGGCAGATAGGAGAACATTTGATGTCTGGTAAATTAACAGGTAGTTTTATGTATTTACAGTATTTGTAGAGGATAAAACATGGGGAGATGTGTAAATATCGCTGAGATGTCATGTACTGTATTTTCTTTTATTTTCCCTGACATACTTTATGGCTGAACTCTGAGCACAAAAGCATTCACGTAATACCCTTCTCTCTTTCCATCAGATAGTTTCATGGAAAAGATACAGCGACTTCAAGAAGCTGCACCGGGATCTCTGGCAGATACACAAAAACCTCTTCAGGCAAACGGAGCTCTTCCCACCCTTTGCAAAAGCCAAATTGTTTGGTAAGTCTTGTTCTGCTGGGATTGGTTACATCTGGAGTCATTGTAAACTGAGAGGAGCCAGGAGGTGATGTTATGTAATAGCTGCAGTCATGCCTAAACTATTCTCACACACTGAAAGTGGACTTTACATGACAATGAAAGGTTCTTTTGTTTTTTCAGCTTCACCATTTTAGTAGGAGACCTTCGGTGAAAGTAATGATCATAGAGAGAAACATTTGGAAGAAAAATAAAAAAAAAAAGATATTTATGTTAAAGAAGAACTCTGGGGAATCCTGACTGGTTTTTAGACCCGTACCTTCATCCTCACTCCTTCTCCTTGTGGATCGTGGTTCACCCCTGTGGACTAAATGAGAGAAATCAATCGAGGGTGACATCACTGGGGCCTTAATTACTGGATACTGAAAATCCTGTGAGAATGTACTCCTGCATGGGACTGGAGCATCATCTCAGGAGATTTGGGGTGCTAAACTATCTCAGTATCCCGCCATAAGTCCCAGGGGCTTACAAACTCATTATGTGATAGCACATTGGAGTGATAGGTTCTCTTTAAGGTAACATTCTTGGTCTACTAGACCCCTAGTGTCCCCTTTCCACTGCAAAGAAGCTAATCAAGCACACATCGTGCTTAAATAGCTTTGTCCGCGGCTACTCTAGCCGGGTAATGACAACTGAAGAATCGGAAGTTATGCAATCAGTGTCCCTTCCGGCTCCATTCAGCAGGGAGGAGATCGGCAAATGGATGTTCGCAGGTCTCTCTCCCCTCTACCTGCTGACACTTGTGATGCTGGTCCCAGGCCCACAGGAGGAGCAGCGGATCCAGAGAAGCAAGGGAGGGGTGCCCTCTTCACTGGCCCCTGGAAGCAATCTGGCAGCAGCTCAGGCGCCAGAATCGCTTCCAATGTAAAGCCAATGGGGCCATTTAAAGGAGCCCGCTGCCACCAATGTACAGCATACATTGTTGGCAGCGAAACGGTTAAAACAGGTTTAGTTGCGTATAGTCTTGCTTAGCAGTGTTTAGAGTTTCTAATTGGATTCTGGACACATAGAATTCTGTTTTCTCTAATTGCAGCTCAACTAAACAGCTCTAAATGCAGGTAAAGGCCCAGGATGAAGGATACTCCTGAATAATCATTACCTGCATTTATATGCGTTTAAAATGTGCTCTAAACGCATAAAAAATCAGATTTGACACTGTAGATGTGAATGAGGCCTTAGAATCTCTATCACTTTTTATTGCCATCTGTGTACCCATTGGGGAGATTCCCCCTCACATTCTGTCCCAGTGACCATGTTGTATCCAGGACAGGAAGTTAGAAAAGGAAAGCTCTAGTATAGACAAAGTCAGAGATATAAAGCAGGCAGAGATTTTAGCCTTAACTCGCTCTGAATAAACATTCTTTTATTGTTGTTGTGTCCCCCGTTGGGGAGAATTCCTTAACTTTCTGTCCTGGTGACAGTTTTGTTACTGGGACAGGAAGTGAGGAAGAATTTCTCCAACAAGTGCTCGGGGAGCAATACATAGCAGGGGTTATAGCTCTACTCCAGTCTGTCCAAAACTAAACGAGTTTGTTTTATTACCGTGTTAAACTTTCTACTGATCTGGCTGGGAGGCAGATCATGGAAATCACAGATCCTGGGGAGCTCTACAAAGAAAATAGTGACAAGGTTGCCGTTTAGTCGCCCCTTTTTGAGGGGTAACCAAACTCTGGCCCTCCAGCTGTGGTGAAACTACAAATCCCGGTGTGGTCACTATGCTGGGGGGTGCTAGGGGAGCGCACTCCCAGCTCAGGACAATGGTGTGACGGACTGAACCGTCACCAGGGCTGCTGGAGGAGCCTGAGGGCTAGCCTCCTTCCTACAGACCACGGGCCTAGGGCTGCAGAGATTTATTACCCCGGAGAACTTTGTGTGCTGTGTGTGTTCCCAGTAGGGCTGCAGCTAACGATTATTTTCATAATCGATTAGTTGGCTGATTATTAAGTTCGATTAATCGGTTAATCGGATAAAAAAAAAAAGGCTCCAGTGATGGACTACTAGTTTCTATTGCGATTGTAGTCCATCACAGGAGCAAGCTTGGCACGGTGGAAGTAAAAAAAAAGTGTGGTGTGCAATATAGTACATTATACAGCGGCGCAATGCAGAATACCAGAATGCTATAGAGGACTACAAAACCCAGCAATAGTACATTATACAGCGCAATGCAGAATACCGCCAGCTATTATGTACTATTGCTGGGATTTGTTGTATTCCTCTATAGCTGGCGGTATTCTGCATTGCGCTGTATAATGTACTATTGCTGGGTTTTGTAGTCCTCTATAGCCGATGCAATTCTGCATTCATTGCTGTATAATTTTACACTTTCCATTTCCATTTTCTTTTATACTTCCACCTCTCCAAGCTTGCTCCTGTGATGGACTACAACCTCAATACAAACTAGTAGTCCTATCACTGGAGCCATTTTTTAAACTTTCTTTTATTGTTTATCCGATTAACCGATTAATCGAACTTAATAATCGGCTAACTAATCGATTTTGAAAATAATCGTTAGCTGCAGCTCTACTAAGGACATTCATCTCAAAGAGTGTCTGTGCTTAAAAGACTTCCAGTGCGGCACCTAGCTGTCTGGGGGAGGGGACACACTGAACTCTAATCTGATCCTGTCAGGTATAAACTCTGTGTGCTTCCTTCAATAAAGCAGATCTTGGTTTCCACCTCAACATTGGTGTTGTCTAATGATTGAGTGGTTTAGCGTTCTGTCCTAATATATTGGTTCTGTCCAATAATTAGGCAGGTTTGGGCTGATGACACTGGGGTTTGGGTTCCAGCGGAGAGGAAGCTGATTTCTGACGGAGGTACCCAGTCGGGGTACCAGGCGGTCCGTCACAAATGGCACCAGCTGTATGCATATATGTTGCAGCCTGGTGTTAAAGCCCACTGCCTGGCTGTCACTCATATGCGTATACATGACGGCAAGTGGTTAGAGCCTAACTCTGGCCAAAGATGGTGTTGTCTTTTAGGTTTGGATAAAGTTGGGGAGCATTCAGGTTTTTATTTCTGTCTGTGGCCCCATTCGGAAGATTTTCACTTCTTGTCCCTGTGACATCTTTACAAGAAATGGGGGAACAGTTGTCACAAGGACAGGAAGACATGGACAGCAATAACAATTGTCAGAAGTTCTAATCTTCCCTTATTCTACTGGAAAATGTGTTTTTAGTTTTGTCTTTTGTTGGAGAGATTTCCCATCACATGCTGTCCAGACAGGAAGTGCGGGGAAGTCTCCCCAATGGCTTTATCCAAAATGGAATAGGAAGTTTTGCCTGTTGGGCCTAAACTCGGGTACAAACTGTAACATGCTGCTGATTACTAGTTTTTAGATGTGGCAGCTGCTTTTGTTCGCTTTAAGTGGGCTTTCCATCCCCAGATATATCTTTTGTGAATGCTAAATTCGCTTGAAACAGGTCAACTGCAGCTCAGAAGGAGGTCAACTGCATCTGTTAACGAATTCTTACTGATTACAGAAACATCTTAAACTGATACCATCAACACAAACCCAAAGCCCATGGACACAGGCCCTTAGTTTTGGTTTTATCCAGGCTTTTTATCCTTTTTTATTTTACCTGATGATCCTGCCAGTAACACACTTCCTTTCCTAGGGTGACAACGCTCACTAACTCTATCTATTAAGGAGCAGCGTTGTCAACTTGAGGCAGGAAGTGCGTTGGAATTACAGAACACCTCCCCTTCTGCTCTTTGCCATAATTTAGGGGGAGTGTAATTTGGGCAGGAAGACTAACCCTGCTGGAGGTAACACTGCCGAGTGCACAGGAAATTGGGAGTTCAATGGATTTCTTGCTGGATAAATAGGTGAAGTAATTGTTTTGTTTTTTTGCACTTAATTAATAGACCAGAAGGGAGCAAATAGAAGACGTTGAGGTGCAGTGTTTACATATGCAGAATCTGCTTCTTGGTTAGTAGTGCTGTGTTGTGCTTTCTTGATCTTTTCTGCCATAAACTCTACCAGACAAATATATAATAGAATACTGTAGACTCTCTGCAGTCTCTAATGACATGAAACACTCGCAGTACTCCTGGTCAGTAATGGGCTTGGGCGTGTTCGCAGCTCCACGTGCTGAGCCCGCCAGGAAGCTGACAGCGCCGCAGCGCCAATCACAGGCACTGAGACATATCCCGATCTCTGCAGCTGCGGACTGGGATAATGTCTCAGTGCCTGTGATTGGCGCTGTCAGCTTCCTGGCGGGCTCGGCACGTGGAGCTGCGAACACGCCCGAGCTCATCACTACTCC